AGCCCGTCCCTGGCTGGAAGACGTGGCCCTTCAGCGCTGACCTGTGGCGGGTGGTTGCGAAGTTTAAAAACCAGTTGTATGACTGGAGAGGAGCTGCCGCGGAAACACGCGCAGCCCTGTGGGCCCAGGGTCCCTCTGCCCACAGGGACCCTGATGCTTCCTCAGTCCCCTGGGGCTGTCCCAGCCGCCCCTGGCCAGCCTGGGGCCTGTTCGCAGATTTACCAGTTTTGGTTGTGTTTATTCACTCCCATAATGTTTAATTACTCATCTACACTACAATAAGTAATCTCCAAAGCCTCCGATAGAACCATGTGTTACTTAAGGGAAGCAAAGGAACATGGAAATGGAAAAAAAACACTTTTCACTTGACAGCTGACATTGTTTCCCGGTCTGCTTGTCCTTGTCTTGGCCCTGAAACGCCAGGGTGAGCTGGAGAGGTAGCTGGGATCAGCTTATTCCTACTGTGCAGTGTGTGTCCAGGGTTCTTGCTGTCTTCCCTGTGGTCAAGTTTCTTCTTTCTTGCTCCCAATAATAAACGTTTGGCTCAGTCATCAGGGCAAGTCCAGCTCTTGCAGTAGATTAAGGACACAGTCTGGAGCACACCTGAAAGCAGCAGCCATCACGGTTCATAGTTTACCACATCTTGAGTCACAGAGAGGTGATCCTTTAAATTCACTTTCTGTTTGGTCACCTCACAAAAAACTGGTACCTGCTGAAGAATTGTTAACCTGGGATTTTTTGCATTGGAGCCTATATGAAAAAGGGAGTAAGGAATATAGGTAAAATGTAACTTTGGCCGATTTTTTGTAGTTCAAAGACTTAACCTTTGCTTTTTACATTTTTATTAGAATATATATTTTTTCCTATGTTTTCAGACAATAGGGACACAAAACGTGACCCGTATGAAATTGTTCAAGGTATTAGCATTAAACAAGGGAGCTGTTAACATTTCAGCCTTTCTTGATCTTGCAGCAATCCTTTATCAAATAAAGGATTACAGGCCTTCTGGGAAATTCAAAGTACTTGATAGCATTACAAATACATGTCCCCTCTCCATATTCTTTTTGTGCCTGTTACCTTCTAAGGTAAATTGATAGCTTACTAGTGAAAGCATCTTTTATTCCTCTTTCCCCTAGGTTAAAAACATCTGGCTTTTCTCTTTTTAAAGAGCCACAGGCCAGACAGGTTGACCCGGATGCTATTGTTCCTTTTCTCTCAGAAACTACTTCAAGTGATTAAGCTCTTCAGTGAAGTGTGGCATACCCCAGCTGACCTGCTGCCAGGCTTATTTAACTAGTTCAGCATGGTAATTCTTCAGCATAGAAAGAGCTGCCTGTTTGGGAAAACAGAGGTGGCAGAGTCGTAGCCAAAGGAAGAGCCTTCCTGGGGAAGTCCTGCGGCAAGGACTCAGAACTATGTTCATCAAGGCTGGCAGGCACAAAGCTGCTTTTGGCAGACACCTGAAAAACAGGTAAAACTGAGCACGTTGCCAGAAGCTCCTGCCCAGCACTAGTTTAGAGTTTTCTTACAAATTCTATGTATGTAATTTAGACCTGTTGTTCAGAAGACATTAACCAGAGCTGTCAACCAGCAGAGAGACTTACACATTCGCCACGGCGGGGTCTGTGTGCAAAGGCCTTCATTTCATACATGCTTTAAATTGTCCTAAACAAAGTCTTGCCTGTCTCTGCCTGCTTATTCCCACTATGCCTGGTAGGTTCTTTCCTTATACAAATAGGTACTTTAGCACAGCCATCTGGAGAGCTGGACTGGGGGACTAAGCCAGAACGCAACCCTGTGTTCTGTACCCTTCCCTCCCTATGATGGTTCCTAGTCCTAAGAGAAGGGAGTGGGAACGCTAGGGACATTTGTTTTTTTGAGCAACTGTCAGCTTATTGCAGCTTATTGGAATACATGTGCTGTTGTGACCCAAGAAGGTATGTCAAGAAAATATATCTTGCTAAGCCTTGAGCTGTTGACTCTGCTGTTGGAAACAGAAGTGGCAATTGGATATTTAGAATTTACAGGGTTTCTGCAGTCCTTCACGTTGGACAACTTTGGCCACTTCATCACTGTACTACTACTGTAAATTACAGATGAGAATAGTCATGTACCCTATGGGATTGTGAACAACTTGTATTTGGACTGTTCTTTGAAGTTATAAGGTATTATGGGTAGTAAATATTGCTCTCTGATGGAGACTGATAGTTACCAAAGTATTTTATGTCGAGACTGTACTGGGGAAATGGGCAAATAGTGATGAACTTTTTCTCCTTGGTATAAATGGTTCAGTTTTTTTATGAATGGAGGACATCTCCCTGATCCTTGAGTACTGTAAAAACTATATGTACCTTTTGATTCTTCCATTGAGTACATACTAGCTCTGTTAGCAGCATGCCCTGTTCTGGTCACAGCTGCTTAGGCAATAGCTCAGTGGTACAGTTCTCATTTTCATGAGACTTGGTGTGGAATATGGCAGCACTCTTCTCACAAGTGGCATTTTGGCTGAGTTTTGTATTCCTTTTTCTTTTTTCCTTTTTTTTTTTTTCTTTAACCGGATCTGTTGTTTTTTTCTCCAGGTGTTCAGATCACAGCTCAGTATTTCTTCAGTCAGTGATCAAGATGCCTGCAGGGCAGGACTACAGCCAGTCAGCCAGTGGAAGGCCTATGGCCTCAATGGGTATCCAGGTAGGTACTTCTGATTTCAAGAAAAATTAAACACAGTCATGTTGCTTTGGATTCAGGCATCTTCCATCTTATTCTCCTTGTCCTGCCTGAAAAAGCTATTTTGGTTTGCCTGAGTGTAATTTAATGTTATTTTAAGTGCAGGAGGGCATGAGTCAGCTAAAGTGTGGGATGTGGCAGTAGATATGACAGTGAGCACAGAAGGGCCAATTGTTTTGCAGTTGCTGATCAACCAGACCAGCCCTCATGAGAATGGATCCCTTTTGCCTTTGATAGAGATTTTATATTTCTGTGCTATTTTTCCTCAACATAGATCATGGAAATTAGGTAAGTGACTGAAATACAGTCATTTCAGGGCTGAAGGGCATCTACTTGCTGGTGTAGAACACCAAGTACAATAAGTGAGAACCTCTTGTCCTTTTCAAGGTACAGAGCAATTTCATTAGGCAGGTTATTTCCAAAACTGAAATGGATCTTAAGGTGGTAGGCCGCCTGGTAGAATCACAGATAACTTAGGTTGGAAGGGACCTCCAGAGGTTTAGTCCAACTCCCTGCTTAAGCAGGGTCTCGTAAAAAGTTAGATCAAGCCGGAGCTTTGTAGGAGTGAACTCTGGGAATCTCCAAGGATAGAGATTACACACTCTCTGTGAGCAGCTGTTCCAGTGTTTGACAACCTGAGAAATGCAGCTCCTAAAAATCCCTGGTTAGACTTCAAATCATCAAATCGCTATTCTTTAAGCCTGGTGGCCCAGTCACCTTTTGCTCACCCTTTTAGTTTACCCATAAAATCCACAAGTCCCCACTTTGGTTCCAGTGATGCTGTGGGAGACTGATGGGAAAACTCTGCTTAAGTCAAGGTGAGCAGCATCACTTGCTCTCCCCTTGTCTGAGCATCTCACAGTAGCAGGCAGTAAGGCTGGTTAGACAAAATTTTCCTGCAGTAAATCCATACTGGCTATTCCCAACCACCTTATGTCTGGAAATGGCTGTCCTGAAATTTTGCTTCATAACCTTACCAGGGGTTTTGATAAGGCTGATGAGTTTGTGGTTCTGCAGATAGTCCTTATTTCAGCGATTTTTGTTTGTTTAATTATGATTTTTCTCATGTTTCTTTAGTTCATTTGGACTGCAGTCATTGTCAGTGTCAGTTGCTATGAAGCCAGCCTGCCATTTCTAAAACTGAGACAGTCACACTAGCCATCTGGCATGGTTAAAACAGAGGGAATTAAGTAACTTCTGGAGAAAGGCTTCCCACCTCTTTTTGCCTCTGTAACATTTTTGTTCCACTCACCTGTCATATTACAGCTGTCCTTGCTTGGTCTCACTTGTCATATTATGTCTGTCTAAATGTCTTTCCTAGCAGTTACATGGGGGAAGGGGGCAATCACAAGTGTTCCACTTAACTGCATTTTTCTTCAGCTGTGACAGAGAAAAACCTTTCACTAAAATTAAATGCAAATACAAATTCTCAGTTCTGTTTAGAATAAAGTCAAGTGCCCCAATAGCCCTTTAAAATAAGTTATTTCTTCAGTTTGTCTGTGAGCAAATGGAAGGGAAGACATGTGGTTTTGTCCCCACAGTGAGCAGTTAATACAAAACTAAGCTGGATGAATCTGTGTTGCAGTGTTCTGTGAGATCTGGGTGCTGCTGTCTTTGTAACTGACACAAAATGCTTTTATGAGGGGTTGTTCTTGTTGCCAGACAACTGTGTCTTACCCTTCCTTTGACTGAGGCTGGAGACCACTGTCAATAGGTGCAAATTGATCCATGGTGTGCCACAAGGTTTTGGTTTTGCAGTTAGAGAATTACATTTGCTTCCTCAAGGCAGATTTCTTTATCACACAGAACCCAAATAATTCATCTTTTGCCCATTCATAGAATCATATAACAGTTTGGGTTGCAAGGGACCTTAAAGATCACCTAGTTCCAACCCCCCTGCATGAGCAGGGACGCTTTCCCCTAGACCGGTTTGCCAAAAGTCCCATCCAGCCTGGCCTTGAACACTTCCAGGAATGAGGCAGCCACAGCCTCCCTGGACAACCAGTGTCTCACCACCCTCATAGTGAAGAATTTCTTCCTAGCATGTAACCACTTCTTCATAATGTCTAATTCCAAGTAGAACACCAAGAAATTCAGGGGTTTCTGCCTTTCTTGACATCTTGACATCCCTGGATGTGTTTAAGGGTCATTTGGATGTGGTGTTGGTGGGTATGGTTTAGGGGAGAACTTTGTAGAGTAGGGATGATGGTTGGACTTGGTGATGCAGCCACAGCCTCCCTGGACAACCAGTGTCTCACCACCCTCATAGTGAAGAATTTCTTCCTAGCATGTAACCACTTCTTCATAATGTCTAATTCCAAGTAGAACACCAAGAAATTCAGGGGTTTCTGCCTTTCTTGACATCTTGACATCCCTGGATGTGTTTAAGGGTCATTTGGATGTGGTGTTGGTGGGTATGGTTTAGGGGAGAACTTTGTAGAGTAGGGATGATGGTTGGACTTGGTGATCCCAAGGGTCCTTTCCAACCTGAATGGTTCTATGGAAGCATAGCAGTTACTCTCCTCTTAATTTTCTTGATTTTCTAAATCTAGACTAATCTGGTTTCTTAGGAGAGAGCAATGAAAGGTTTGGAGAGACTTAAGGATATTAAAAGCTTCTGATATAAGAGTCATAACATTTGGATTCTTGTTCTCAGGTCTGGGTGTAACTAGTCCTCCAGACTTCAATCCTTTCATTAATACCTGGAGATAATACAGACATAGGAGAGCATATTTTCATGAATGTGCTAAAGTGGTTTGAGAATGCCACATCAAAAGCTGTAGATGGGAAGGGCAATATTATTCTGGTCTATGCAGAGGCCAGCAGAAAGTACATGTAATGCTTCTGGCAAATAAACTTTTTGCAACCAGACCTGCCAGAAGGCTGCCATAGTGGGAAGGTGCAGGGAATGGAGTGAAGGCAGTATATAATTAATACACTGAAGGCTCTTCAGTGTATTAATTTAATCCTTTGAGGTCGGTGAGATATGCTGTCAGGAAGCTTTTTCTATGCTTTTACTACCACTTTCATAAGGCCACAAAGCAAGTTTGTATCCTGCTGAGATTCCTAGCCCTGCTGCTTCCTTTCTCATCTATTTTTGTCTCCATTTAACTTGATATGACTGAGAATTTCAAACAGACACAGTAGGGCAAAACCTTGAAACCTCATTTTTCTTTGTTCCTCCTGTACTCTTAGTTCTCTTCATATGTGAATTTTGTATTGGTGAGTCTTTGTGTGTGTGAATTGACAGTCCTTGAGAGAGTGCCTTGATTCTCAGAGTAGGTAAAATACTGATTGATAGTATCTTCACATCAGACACTCATTCATCAAAACCATCAACCCTGGCCTGGCAGAAAACAGTTCTGGAGTGCTGGAGGAGAAAATTCCAGTGAAGAATCCTGTTAGCACTCCTGGTGATAGCAGATCTTATGTCAAGGACTCTTTTCTGTTAAGTCACAGACCAAATCAATCCATTATATGTCTGCTAACCCTCTTGTTTCAGCTTCTTGAACTCTGCCTGAGGTACCTGGTTAAATGAATGCTTCTTTTGTTTTGTTAATTAACAATGACTGCGAAGTATTTGCAGTCAGCAACAAGCAGCTTGGGATGTAATTTGACTTTCATCCCCTTGATCAAAATACAAAGATGGATACAACCAGTCTTACCTAGAAATAAGCATGAAGCAAAGGAGAGGACAGTTTCTATTACTAGAAGCTTACTCAGCCCATGGACTGCTCTCTGCAGTTCATGACACCACAGGAGCAATAAGAAAGCAGTAGGAGTTCAGAGGCAGCAACAAGGTTAGTTCGAAGTCTAGAAAAACGAGGTCAGAAGTACTTGAACTTAGCAGGGTTCATGAGAAAAATCTTGTTGAATAATTTAAAAATCAAATTTATTCCCAAGCACACTTTCCAAGTTCTTACTTCTTTACCTGTAATCAATATGACTTCATTGTAATTTTTTACTTGCACCAGTGTTGGCTGCCCTCCCTGCCTTCTACCTTATGGCCACCATTGAGTTGTACTGAAAAAATATATATCTTTTATCTTAACTATTGAGCCTATGTTAGTAGACTTCATCAGTTTATATGCAGAGTCAATGGTTGTATATCTAAGGTGTTTTTTAAGCACCTCTGGCCCATCTCCTTTGCTTTAATATTAGAAAAACCAGGTACATGCCTAATCATACTTTCTTACCACTCCCTCCCTTTTTCTCTGTGCTCAGGGTTTATTTTCATACTAAACCCTTTCCTCCCTGGCTGCCAGCGTCACTGGGTGAAACAGTGTCTCAAGTTATACCCCCAGAAACCCAATGTCTGCAACCTGGACCTGCACATGGCTCCTGAGAAGACAACTGACCTGTGGGGACAGAGCAAAGAGCAGCTAAGGTAAGTCCACAGTAACCTTTGGTGGTCAAGACTAATGAAGCCAGAAATTCTTCGCTCTGAGAAGGTCTAAGAAAAATGAGCAGAGAAGGGAAGCTGGAAAAGATTGTGTGCATGTTGGCAGTATACAGGTAGTGTCAGACCTGCCAAGTTAAATACATATTTTTCATGGCTTGATTTGCATCCGTGATAAGTCTCTGCTTTCACACTCACAATGAGATTTTCTAGTAGTAATCTATTCCAAAGCCATCAGTCCAGTGTAAAATAGTTACTGTGGTTGATGTCATGGTTCTTGGAAGCTTGCTAAGCTCAGCTACAAGTGGAACCATGAGGTTTCTCTAGGCTTCAGTTTTCCTGTGGCAAAAGGGGTCCTATCCAGACACCCCACTCATGCTAGCTCTTCTTCCCAGTCAGCTGTCAGACCTAGTATACTGTTACTGAAAGGCTGTTATACTCTCAAGTCAGCTAGTTTCTGTGCATTTATTTTCCTAAGTATTTATTTGGTTTGGTGTGACTCGTTTGGGTTTGGTTTCTTTTATTCAATCTGCAATAGTGATTAAATGGACCGCTTTAATTGCAATCCTGTTTACTGTGAAACATTCCCACAGGTTCAGAGTTCTGTGGCTGACACAGCTACTTACCTCTACCTGATTTGGAAGTTTATATAGAATTTGTCCAAGTTTTCAAGTCAGGTATAAAGTTTTAAAGTCCAAGTTTTAAAAACTTTTTTTTAGAGTCACCTGTAAAAATACACACAAGATAAAAGCTGTTTACAGTACACAATCTTTAGTTATTTGGGTATTTAGCATCACCTTGTTGATTTCACTGCTCATTTTTCTTAACTGTTGTTTCATGTGATGGAAAAACTGGAGTTCCCTGTAATTCTTATCTTCCACCTCAGTTTCTCAGTAAAATTGACATGCTGAGATTTTTCTTCAAAAATACTCTTTTAACTTCTACAAGATACAGATTGGCAAAAGCAAGATTTAGACTTCTAAATATTTGCACCTGGGAGAGAATTTATGCCCTCACTTGTGTTTTCCAGGCTTAGTCAGAATGAGTTACAGAAATTCAGATGCCTTTTTTGTGTTCCATCAAGGCTGAAACATTGTTCTTGGAAAGTATTGTGCATTATGCCCTAGAGCTGAAGAAAGTTGGGTGCTATTCCAGCTTGACAGGCCATTCCCAGCAGCTTCTCCTGCGCTCACAGAGAATGATCAGAACAGAGGTTAATTTGCAGCTGAATTCAGTTCAGTTGAAAACAGTGTTTGGAAGAGTGATGGCTGATAGAAACACCAGCAGTGTTATTAAGCACTTGCCTGTGTCTTCAAGCGAGCACACCGCTGTATTTATGCTCTTACATTGAGGACAGTGGATCAAACTCACCAACTTGTCTAGATTGTGGAAGTGGGAGCCTTTCCAGGAGGGGAGGAACAGAGCGCTTAACTAGAAGAGGTCTAATTTCAAGATGGGACACAGCTTTAATGCTTTTTAAAGCCCTCAGGAAGATGCATGTGATTGTGTCATGGCTTATCTGCTCTTGTCAGGATGCAGGAATCACAGGGTAGGGAGAGTCCATACAGTTCCTAGAAATCATGGAATCGTAGAATGGCTTGGGTTGGAAGGGACCTTAAAGATCACCTAGTTCCAAACCCCCTGCCATGGGCAGGGACACCTCCCACTAGACCAGGTTCCTAAGTATTTATTTGGTTTGGTGTGACTCGTTTGGGTTTGGTTTCTTTTATTCAATCTGCAATAGTGATTAAATGGACCGCTTTAATTGCAATCCTGTTTACTGTGAAACATTCCCACAGGTTCAGAGTTCTGTGGCTGACACAGCTACTTACCTCTACCTGATTTGGAAGTTTATATAGAATTTGTCCAAGTTTTCAAGTCAGGTATAAAGTTTTAAAGTCCAAGTTTTAAAAACTTTTTTTTAGAGTCACCTGTAAAAATACACACAAGATAAAAGCTGTTTACAGTACACAATCTTTAGTTATTTGGGTATTTAGCATCACCTTGTTGATTTCACTGCTCATTTTTCTTAACTGTTGTTTCATGTGATGGAAAAACTGGAGTTCCCTGTAATTCTTATCTTCCACCTCAGTTTCTCAGTAAAATTGACATGCTGAGATTTTTCTTCAAAAATACTCTTTTAACTTCTACAAGATACAGATTGGCAAAAGCAAGATTTAGACTTCTAAATATTTGCACCTGGGAGAGAATTTATGCCCTCACTTGTGTTTTCCAGGCTTAGTCAGAATGAGTTACAGAAATTCAGATGCCTTTTTTGTGTTCCATCAAGGCTGAAACATTGTTCTTGGAAAGTATTGTGCATTATGCCCTAGAGCTGAAGAAAGTTGGGTGCTATTCCAGCTTGACAGGCCATTCCCAGCAGCTTCTCCTGCGCTCACAGAGAATGATCAGAACAGAGGTTAATTTGCAGCTGAATTCAGTTCAGTTGAAAACAGTGTTTGGAAGAGTGATGGCTGATAGAAACACCAGCAGTGTTATTAAGCACTTGCCTGTGTCTTCAAGCGAGCACACCGCTGTATTTATGCTCTTACATTGAGGACAGTGGATCAAACTCACCAACTTGTCTAGATTGTGGAAGTGGGAGCCTTTCCAGGAGGGGAGGAACAGAGCGCTTAACTAGAAGAGGTCTAATTTCAAGATGGGACACAGCTTTAATGCTTTTTAAAGCCCTCAGGAAGATGCATGTGATTGTGTCATGGCTTATCTGCTCTTGTCAGGATGCAGGAATCACAGGGTAGGGAGAGTCCATACAGTTCCTAGAAATCATGGAATCGTAGAATGGCTTGGGTTGGAAGGGACCTTAAAGATCACCTAGTTCCAAACCCCCTGCCATGGGCAGGGACACCTCCCACTAGACCAGGTTGCTCTAAGTCCCAGTCAGCCTGGCCTTGAACACTTCCAGGGATGGGCCAACCACAACTTCCCTGGGCAACCTGTTCCAGTGTCTTGCCACCCTCACAGTGAAGAATTTTCTTCTAATGTCTAATCTAAATCTACCCTCTTTCAGCTTGAAATCATTCCCTGTTTTCCTGTCACTATATGCCCTTGTAAAAAGTCCCTCCCTGTCTTTCTTGTAGCTTCCTTCAGGTACTGTAAGGTGGCTATAAGGTCTCCCCGGAGTCTTCTCTTCTCCAGGCTGAACAGCCCCAACACTCTTAAGTCTGTCTTTCTAGGATAGGTGCTCCAGCCCTCTGATCATCTTCGTGGACCTCCTCTGGACTTGTTCCAACAGCTCCATGTCCTTATGTTGGGGACTCCAGAACTGGACATAGTACTCCAGGTGGGGTCTCACAAGACTGGAGTAGAGGGAAGTGTATGCTACAAAATGTATGCTATGCTCTCTTCACACAGTGGAGTTTGGGTATGTTCCTCAGTGCTGGGGACAATTAAAAGCATAAAAGGGGTAGAGCATCCCTACATGCTATATACATGTCCCTGTGTATAACGAAAAGTCAGGAGATTTTGTAGATGCAGTTATACTAGTGAATAAAGAAAAAAGGAAGCTTCAGACCAAAGGCTCCCTGCTGTTCATTCTTAGTCTCTTTCTAACAGTTATTCCAGAACTTCTTTGTGCCTTCTTGTAGGAGCACCTGGTGCTACAGCTCTAGGAACTCCTTGTTTCCTGATACGTAACACTCGTATTTTCCTCTCCTTAGCAATCGCATGTGAAATCACATACAAAATACTGAGTTCTGGGAATAAGGACCTACAAAGCACATTAGGGTTCCAGCTGTTGTGTAAACACTCTAGCACTGTAGCGAAAGAAGAAGGGCACCATCAAACGGCACATGCTAAAATGTTTAATTATGAAAATTATGTTTGTTGTTGAAAGATGTAGAGGAATGAGTTCTGGGCTTTCCCTTTTCTAAATGCTGTTAACGTGCTTGTAGGCTCTGAATTGTTCTAAGCAGCATGTATTTGACAGTTCTGCGTTGCTGCACTGCGGTAATGATTATCCCACTACATTATCCCACGACAAAGATGGAAACTGGAAAGATTACCTTCAGTGAGCTATGAAAAATTACTAAGATACTGGGCTTTTAGTCCTGTTCTTACTTTAGCTTACTAGTAGTACAGTATAGGTGAAGGGCAGAAACAAGCTGTGTATCCAGGTAGGTACGGACATTAAATGCAGGTGCTTGGCTGAGACTTGACCATGGCAGCACAAATATGAATCCTGTTTTGCAAAACACAAACTGAACGTACTGAGGTAATGAGGGTATAAGTGAGAGCCAGCCACTTGGTGCTACTGTTTATCATGATGTTCTAAGTACACTTCCCTTTTCTTTCTTTACCATAACACATGACTTAGCTTGAGGATAGAAGCCAAAATTGCTGGAATTAAAGGACTAGAAAATAGATTTGTACCTTCCTTTATGTTTTTGTCACTACCATGTTTCTACCTGATTTACTATAAATTTTTATAAATTTATATGGACTTTATAAATTTTAAGGACTTTTCTGTAGGCCTAAGGACTTCTACTATGTTAAAACCCCATCCCTGAGGTCTCTTCCTGTCTTCACCACCTTCAAGTAAGAATAGTAAATTGGCGTTGACTCCCTATGCCTTAGGGCTGTCACTTAAGAAGAACAGTTGTTTTGTCCTTCATAGCACCTGCAATCTAGACTTCTTGACATTATAAGAAGTGTTTGGTTGTAAATAGAGCAGTCATGTTCCTTACTGAACGTTGAGACAGTCCATCCTCAGGACTTCTTGTAAAAGTACCAAGAGGTATAACTAATGGTCCTTTGCAATATTGTGCGGCTTGATATGCTTCACTGTCAGGCAAAACATTTTCCTTTCTTGTAATTTTCCATTAAGTGCACCAAATTTTTTTCATTGTGTTAACAATTTTCACAGATTCTTTTCTTTCACTTTCCGGTGCTCAAATAGTACATGCTTAATTCTGACTTTCAAAGTGCACCAGTTTGTTGTGTTGTCTCCATCTGATAACTTGTTATGTACCAAGTTGAAAACACAAGCAGTTGGCAACAGGCAGGCCCTATGGCTTGGACAGACTGCATGAACTGAATTTTCAGGTGCTTTGGAGCAAAAAAATAATGGTACTGAAAATATGTATGGTTTTAATAAGCTGTCACGTAAATGAGGGAATCTTATTAATGTATGGTGCACCTCATAAACACCTCATAAATTAATACATCCTGTTTCTTTCTATTTTGTCTTTGCAGAAGGAAAGGTTCCAGTAAATGGGAGCCCAGAAGCTTATTGGAGAAGCTGCGCTGGGTTACCCTTGGTTACCATTATAACTGGGATACTAAGGTATTGAAATTAAATTCTTCTCCATTTTTCTTAGCTGTAAGCAGTCAGAAGGCCACCAGAGGAGAGTATAATGGAATAAATGATCCTGTAAGACAGTGTTGAGGAAAGGCTGTAACCATACTTGTAAGAACATTTTAATCTGTATTAGTTTACTGTGAAGTATTTTAACAGCAAAAGTCCATTGCTGTGTTCTTTCCTTGAAAGGTAACATGGCAGCACATACTCACTTCTAGACCTGTGACTCTATTTCACAGTAAGTGGGTATTTTTACCCTACCAAAGGGGATGGTGACAAAAGCATTTTTAACTACTTAAGGAGAGAATGACCTTGAGTGCTTGCAGACAGCTACTTCTGCAAAACTACTCCTCTCTGGACAGGTGAGTGAGAACAGGAAGAGGCTGCTGCTGATGTGACTTAGCATAAGAGTCCGAACCAGTCTAGGACAGGCTCACCAATTAACAGCTATTTTGGGGCTCCTGACCAAAATAAGCTTTTCTGTAAGACTATGTCAGATGGAGGCTGAGAAGGGATGGCAGAACAAATACGTAATCTTACCAGTATATTGCAGATACTTAACCAAATCTGCTTGCAGCCTTGTATTTACCAAGTCAGGGTATTATTGGATGGCCTTTGTAAAAACTTGGTTATTTCCCTCCAGTCCTCTCAGAATCTCAGGAGAAAGAAAAAGTAAGTTTGCAGTTGATCCCTATTTGCTTTATCCTCTAAAGAAGGAAAAAATGCTTGTTAATGAGATACACAACTGTCTTTCCATTGGCAGCTTTAGGTAGTGACAAAGTAGAACATCAGTATGTTGGAACTAACCTTAGGTACTAATCTTACTGACTTCCAGATATAATTATTAACTCCACAATTAATTGAATCTCTGGCAGTCTTAGGCCCAGACTTAAATTATAAGAGGATAAACTTGCTGTGTTTCTGCCTTTGCTGTAGTAATTTTCCAGGCAAATATGATGTCTTTCTCCGTGACTATCAGCCAAACTTCTGAGTTCTCATTCAGTGTTTTTTTTCCAATTATCTTTGCTGCTCTGATGTTCTGGGTGTGGTTTGTTTTGTGTTTCTTTTTTTCCACTCTTCTTCCCCCAGAAGTACTCAGCAAATCACCACACTCCTTTCCCTTCAGACCTTGCATTCCTGTCAGAACAAGTGGCCAGAGCCTGTGGCTTCCAGGGTTTCCAAGCCCAAGCAGGGATCTTGAACTACTATCATTTTGACTCTTCCCTGGGAATTCATGTGGATGAGTCTGAACTAGACCATTCTCGGCCCCTTTTATCATTCAGGTGAGTCAAGCAAAGCACTTGAGCGTTGTGGAAGAATTGGTGGCTTTTTTTTCTGTCATTGCATATCATTTTAGGACGTTGATATGATGTAGTTTGCTAATTGGATCTGTAGTCTTCACTCTCTGAAGATTTGAATTAGTAGGAAGCTGTAGCTCAAGGGTGTAGGTTTTTCTTTGAAGACTGCTTGAATAGCATGGATGCAGCACCTGTAGTGGAAGAGCTTTTCACACAGGGCACAGTTCTGTTCTAAAGCAGCAGAGTGGCAATGGGATAGTACCTGGCAGGAATGAAATACCTCAGCAGAGCTTCAAACCTAGCAGGGCGACTGCTCACACTGTGCCCACCTTGAACCAGGCCTCTTTGTCTGTTTTCCATGTTCTCATTGTAGAGTTGTTACTAGGAGTCCATCTGCTTTTCTAGGTTGCTTTGTGGTGTGGTTTGTTGGGTTTTTTTAAACCAAGGGATTTAGCTGCTAGTATTTTCTTACTGTACATACAATTGTTCTCTACCTGAATCTCTTTTCTCCTACCATCTCTAGTTTTGGGCAATCCTCAATATTTTTGCTTGGGGGCCTGAAGCGGGAGGAGGCCCCAACAGCGATGTTCATGCACAGCGGAGATATCATGGTGATGTCTGGCTTCAGCCGTCTGCTGTACCATGCTGTCCCCCGGGTCCTCCCCAACCCTGAAGGGACAGCTTTGCCTTCATGCCTGGACCACGTGCTTTCTTCAGACCTTCCTGCTGGCTCCATCATCGAGCACAGCTCTGATGAGGATTGGCAGGTCTGTGCCAAGTACTTGCAGTCTTCCCGCATTAATATGACTATTCGACAGGTGTTAGCTGAGGGTCAGGAATTTCCAGAGGAGTCTGGGACAAATAGAGAAGGCCAAGCACCCTCTGAAGACAGTCACCATCAGGAGAGCAGCAGAGCCAAGAGACATAAACCCAGTGCAGACAGCTGAGACCAGGAGATCATGCTGACATGGACCAGACATGCAACCTTCGTATGGAATTGGGAACTAATGTAATCATACTACAAGCCACTTGTCTGTATTGGGATCAATAAACTTCTACAGAATAAATGTCATCCTTCCTGCTGTACGAAGTAGGTTGGGGAAAAAAAAGAATTTAAAAGGAAAAGAAGGGTAACTTCAGGACTGGGAATCAGGAGATGAACTCTATGGCCATTTTGTTGCAGATATTTTCTGTTCTCAGTTCCCTTTAAAATACCCATATGTCGGAGAATTCTAAGCTTAGTTCAGTGATGTTCCTGAATTATTTTTAAATCGTTAGGCAGAAGGTGCTAGCAAAAGATACATAATTGCTATGCCTTAAAGAATCCCATTGGGCTTGTAAAGCTCAGCTGAAGTGCAGTACCAAGTATGAATGAGAACAGGCCTCTATGGGTGTGAGACCTACCTGCAGCACTTCCAGGAGTGGGCAATACCTGCTTAGAATATCTTGTAGCTTCCAGCTGGATCTCCTCCCAGAAGTAAGTATGTGACTGAGCCCTATATCCCCGTTCTTTCAAAACTGCCCCTTCTTAAGTGCCTGCAGATTATGGTCCTCCAGTCCCAAGCTAGCATCTTTAAGAAACAGAATGACTTGCAAGTAGAAGCAATGAAGTCATAAATTACGTACCTAAAAATATAATCGGTGACTATCTCTGTCACCCAAAGATAAATATATTGAAACAAAGAAAAGCACTAGCTTTTGTTCCAGTTCTCTTTAAGACTCAGACCTTCCTATCTGCTTTTTAATGCAATTTTAATTGTTGCAGTGGAATGCACTATCCCTGGGGTATTTTGTTGCACTTCCCAATGAATAAACTTAGTCGATTTTTAAATTAAAGATCTCTATCAGTTTTGGGCTGGCTTTTTTCTTCTTTTCTTTTCCTCTGTTAGTTATTTCAGTGTATTGTTAATGCTGCCACGTCCCTTGTGCTGTTCCCTCCAGGCTTCTGGATCTGCTGCCTTCCATCTGCCAGCTCTGGTGGAGGAACCCTGCATATGTCTTCAGGGCTACTTGGCTTATGGGAAGTTCAGGGGGTTTTAGGCAGTTTCAGAGATGTGCTGCCTGCAGAATCAAAATTCAATTTAATGTGTGTGTAACAGCTTTTTCTCATGGGGCAAGAGTATGTAAATATGTGTATGTGTGCAACTGATTCCTTGTACAATACTGCAAAGAGCTCTAGTAATTTAATGTCTAAAATAATCAGATGTGGGTTTTAATATCTTATTCTGTGCTAGAAACGTGTCCTTTCTGTATCCTAAGCCTGGTGTATTTACAGCTGAACCCTGGGAGAGTCAGTACTATTATGCAGAGAGGTTAGAACATTACCAGAATGCAAAGTTGACTGAGTAAGTCTCAGAAAACAGCAAAACTCCCTTAGTGGCACCTGAAGGTGGGGAAGGGGAGAGGAATACTTGTTTTCCCAACAGTAAGAGGGAAGCAAAAATATGCCAACTCACTCAGCAGCAAAGATGGGAAAAGAAAGGATCATGGAAGACTTAGATAGGTTGGAGAGTTGGGCGGGGAGAAACATGATGAAATTCAACAAGGGGAAGTGCAGAGTTTTACATTTGGGGAAGAACAACACCATGTCCCAGTACAGGTTGGGGGCTGAACTGCTGGAGAGTAGTGTAGGTGAAAGAGACCTGGGGGTCCTGGTAGACAGGAGGATGACCATGAGCCAGCAATGTGCCCTTGTGGCCAAGAAGGCCAATGGCATCCTGGGGTGCATTAGAAAGGGTGTGGTTAGTAGGTCAAGAGAGGTTCTCCTCCCCCTCTATTCTGCATTGGTGAGGCCACATCTGGAGTATTGTGTCCAGTTCTGGGCCCCTCATTTCAAAAAGCACAGGGAACTGCTCGAAAGAGTCCAGCGCAGAGCTACGAAGATGATTAAGGGAGTGGAACATCTGCCTTATGAGGAAAGGCTGAGGGAGCTGGGTCTCTTTAGCTTGGAGAAAAGGAGGCTGAGGGGTGACCTCATCAATGTTTACAAATATGTAAGGGGTGAGTGTCAGGGGGACGGAGTTAGGCTTTTCTCAGTGATGACCAGTGATAGGACAAGGGGTAATGGGTGTAAATTGGAGCATAGGAGGTTCAAGGTGAATATCCAAAAAAATTTTTTTACTGTAAGAGTGACAGAGCACTGGAACAGACTGCCCAGGGAGGTTGTGGAGTCTCCCTCACTGGAGACATTCAAAACCCACCTGGATGAGTTCCTGTGTGATGTACTCTAGGTGACCCTGCTCTGGCAGGGGGGTTGGACTAGATGATCTCTCGAGGTCCCTTCCAGCCCCTAAGATTCTATGATTCTATGATTCTATAACTAGATGGTCATGAACTAGAGCTGGTTTCTTCATGTCACAGGCTGAGGTTTAAGTCCATTTTTCTTCTTATGTCTTCAGTTTCCTACAAATAGATAACAAATTACAAGCAGTCAGTTATTCTAAGATTCAATTGTTCATGTGATTCAAGGACAAGAAATCATATTGAGGATAACTCTACAGTTTGAAATTGTAGTAAATGCTGCAAACTACTGCTGGCAATTGCTCATGGGAAGTATCCAGTCCATTAAAGCCTTATGTTTAGATGTGACTGGGCTAAGAAGTTGTTGAGTTCCTGACCTGCAGTCAGGCTTGTTATCTAATGCCATTGTGAGCCCTGATCTAATTGCATATTGGACACCCAGAAAATGAAATGTTGATGACCCAGAAATGGGCATATGGGAAATGACCCAGGAAAAAAAAAACGTCATCCATGTACAAAGAGAAACAACTATAAGAAGTGAGAATTTCCTGAACTGCCAGCCTAGCAGAAGGATTGGTTCCATGACTAAAATGGAGTGCTAATGAGCAAACCACAGAACTTCTCTGGGCTCTGTAAACTGTGCTTCCAGAACATGATTCCAAGAAGGCAGTAACAGCCCTGGAAAGAAGGTGCGGAATAAATCTGCTTCCAGTGATACATTGCTGATTTTCCTTCTAGGATAGAAAGACTGGGAACCACTGACAGCTCTCAGGCTGTGAAGTTGCACCTTGTTTGTTTAGGTTTGTGGTGACACAAGAGGATATTTCATAGCACGGATCAAATTTTTGTATCTATAGGTACCACAAGTATCTGCTTGTGTTCTACAGGTGCACACTGAGCTAATGTCTGTAGCTTTTAATTCCTCTAAAGAAGTGTTGCCCAAGGGCCCCAAGCACAAAATTGCAGCAGTATCATAGACAGCAGTCTTATAGGATGTCCTGCTGTTCACAGCTGAGGGGAGGGAAAGAAGAGGTCATCTGGACCAATTCTGCAAGGAAATTGATGTAATTAGTTGATTACTGAAGATAATGTGTTTAATTCAAGGACACCTGGAAATGAAGCATGTTGTTTGCCACATGTACGCTGTGATCTATAAAGCTGATTGTCCAACAGAATTTTTAAAAGTGCTGATTTTTTTAAAATCAAGAGTAAAGAGACAATAGAATCTCTAGTTAAATCAGAATCAAAACACAGTGGAATGAATCCTGAAAGCAGAAGAGGAAACTGCCTGTATGAAGTATAATTTTCAGCCCTCTTGAGAGTACTGTGCTAGAGAAGTTCAGTGTTACAAACTGGACTGCTGGCTGGTGCCCAAGGCAGATTTACTGCATGCTCTCCACATGCCAGCCAGGCAGTAACTTACAGGCAAAGCAGTCCCTAGAGCTGTTGATGTTGAATAAGACTGGGCCCAGTATTGACCCCTGGGGAACACGACTAGTCACCGGTCTCCAACTGGAAACTGCACCATTGATCACAACCCTCTGGGCTCTCTTGTTTAGCCAGTTTTCAGTCCATCTCACTGTCCGCTCTTCTAACTCACACTTCCTGAGTTTATCCACAAGGATGTTATGGGAGACAGTGTCAAAAGCCTTGCTGAAGTGGAGGAAGACAACATCCACCATTCTCCCTGCATCTATCCATTCTGTCACGAAATCATAGAAGGCTATCAGATTAGTCAGATATTATTTCCCCTTGGTGAATCCATGCCAGCTACTCCTGATAACTTTCTTTTCTACCATGAGTTTAGAGATGACCTCCAGAATAAGCTGCTCCATCATCTTCCTAGGGACAGAGGTGAGGCAGACAAGTCTGTAGTTACTGAGGTCCTGTTTCTTGCCCTTCTTGAAGACTGGAGTGACTTTGGCTTTCCTCCAATCCTCAGGCACCTCTCCCGTTTTCCAGGACCTTTCAAAGATGATGGAGAGCAGTCTAGCAATTACTTCTGCCAGCTCCCTCAGCCCACATGGGTGCATCCCATCAGGGCCCATGGATTTGTAGATGTCCAGCTTCCTTAATTGATCTTTAACCCAATCTTCTTCAATCAAGGTAAAGTCTTCATCACTCCTGACTTCTGTGGTCTGAAAGGTTCAGGAATCCTGCTGGTCAGCCTTAGCAGTAAAGACTGAGGCAAAGAAGGCATCAAGTAACTCCATCTTCTCGATATCCTCTGTCACCAGGGCACTCACTTCATTCCATAATGGACCCACATTTCCTCTGGTCTTCCTCTTACCTCCCACGTACTTGTAGAAGCCTTTCTTGTTGTCCTTGACTTCCTTTGCTAGTTTTAATTCTAAGGAGGCCTTAGCTTTCCTTGTTGCATCCCTACACCCTCTGACCACATTCTTGTATTCTTCCCAAATGGTCAACTCTTTATTCCATTATCTATAAACTTTCTTCCACTGAGGTTTGTTCAGAAGTTCCCTGCTCAACCATGCAGGTCTCTTGGCTCTCTTACTTGATATCTTACTCTTTGGGACACTCCAATCTTGAAGCTTTTCTTCCAGCTGAGCATTTATAAGTTATTTCTCCCATGTGGCTTCTCCAGTGTTTAATATCATGCATGGTGCATCCTTTTCCTGAATCAGGGTATGTACAAGGACCCTTCTCCTCTAACTGGCTATCTATTGAACCTGCAGGAATTTAATTA